TGTTCATATTTTTTATCTTCTTTTTTTTAGGTAAGTCCCTTTAACATTTCATATAATAAGGGCTTGGTGAGGATGAACTCCTTGAACTTGACATTATCTGAGAAGCACTTTATCTGCCCTTCCATTCTAAATGAAAACTTTGCTAGATAGAGTAATCTTGGATGTAGGTCTTTGGATTTTATAACTTGGAATACTTCTTTCCAGCCCCTTCTTGCCTGCAAGGTCTCTTTTGAGAAATCCACTGACAGTCTGATGGGAACTACTTTGTAGGTGATTGTCCCCTTATCTCTTGCTGCTTCTAGGATTCTCTCCTTGATTTTAATCTTGGGTAATGTAATTATGATGTGCCTTGGTGTGTAAGTCTATTTCCATGACCAGATTGGGGAAATTCTCCTTTATTATTTGTTCAAATAAGTTTTCCACTTGTCGCTCTCCCTCTTCCCCTTCTGGTACCCTTATAATTAGGATGTTGGAACATTAAAGATGCCCTGGAGGTTCATAAGCCTCTCCTCATTTTTTTGAATTCTTGTTTCTTCATCCTTTTCTGTGTGGTCATTTTTTTTCCTCTTTCTTGTCTATTCCTTTGATTTGAGTCCCAGTTTCCTTTCCATCACTATTGGTTTCTTGTGCATTTCCCTTCATTTCACTTAGTTTAGCCTTCATATGTTCATCTAATTTGTGACTAAAATCAACCACTTCTGTGAGCATCCTGATCACCTGTGTTTTGAACTGTTCATCTGATAGGTTGGCTGTCTCTTTGTCTCTTAGAAGTATTGGCTCTGGGGTTTTGAGCTGTTCTTCTTCTTGAGCCATAATGTTTTGGTCTGTTTGCACCTGTTAGGTATGAGGGGCGGAGCCTTAAGTGTTCACCAGGGCAGGGCAACCCAAGTTGCTGGGTTGTGATGCTGTATATGGGGGCGGGGTCAGAGAGGGGAAATGGTGCTTGTTCCACACTCTCTCTCAGATTTTGGTCCCCTCTGCTGCTTCCCGAAAGCAAATTGGACCCTTCTGGTGCTGGTTCCCAGATGTGTGGGCTTGTGCACCCTCCAGGACCCTGTGGGTCTCGTCTACGAACTCTCTGTGAGCCTGGGAACCTCTCCCGGCACCTCGACCCCCGAAAGTTCTTCCGGTTGGTGCTTTTAGGCTTTAATTCCAGTCACTGGAGCCCTGGTTTGCACAGTCTGTCTCACTGCTCGCTCCTTTGCCTGGTTTATCTGAGTGTGAATGTGTGACCTTGGTCAGCCAGCTGTCTTGCACTCTCACTGGGTCTGCCTGTTGCCACCCTGCGCCTGGGATCTGCTAACTGCCGCCTGTGCGCCCGGGTCTGTCTGGCCACTTTTTCCTGTGCGACCCCTCTCCGCCACCCGCTGACTCCTCCCCTCTTACCAGTTTGAATGAATGGTTCATTGTTGTCAGACTTCCGTACAGTTCAATATTCCATCTGTTTTGATTGTGTTTTTGTTACTAAACTTTTGTTGTCTTTAAACTTGGTTGTGCGAGGAGGTACAGTGTTTCCACCTATGTCTCCATTTTGGCCAGAAGTCCTAGACTTTTTAAATGTAATTATTCAGTATAACTCCTCAGTTAAAAAACTCAAAATTTTATTTTAAAAAAATCTGTCTTTTTCTAATTCTTTTATATTTGATGTGGAGCTTCCATACATTTAATAAAAGCAACACATCTTTCTATTATTTCCATTTAGTTCTCTGATAAGTAGTCGGCAGGGTAATATAAGCAATCAAAACAGTGCAAATGGATAATTTATCTACAGTTCCCAGTGCCCCTTTTCTGGTGATTTGGTTATCTTAATAAGTTTATTACTTTATCTTAATTAGCAAAGTTATACCTTGCTTTGAGCTGATAGCACATATTTATACCTGCTTTTTCTTACTAGCAATAGACATATTACAGTGAAGTCATTTTTAAATTGTCACTGATATTTTCAAAGGTGTTGGTAGCTTCAAGATTTTTAACTTGAAACTATTGTTTTTGAGGGTGAAAGGGGAAAACATCCCCATTCAGTTAACCATTTCATGCTGGTCCTGTCTCCTCATTGGTTGTTTTTTCTACCTCTATTTGGTAGATTTTAGTTTGAGTATTAGGGCCCTGCTCTATATTTTTACTAGTTTCTGAAGTGTGTATGATCACTTTGGCATGGTCATTTTTTTCAAGGGAATCCCAAGGAGAGTCTTTCAACTTAGTTACACCGTGAATTTAGTACCTTTTCTTCTTCTTCTTTCTTTCTCCTCCCCCCTTCCCTCCCCCCTTTCCTCCTCCTTTCTTCTTTCTTTAAGCACCTTCATTCTTGAAGGACAGTTAATCTCTATGGTGATTTATTATAAAAATGCCCACTGACTTTAAAGTCTAGGATATTTCACTTTAAGTAAAAACTGAGTTGGCTTATTTATTTTAAACATTCTAAAAGAAGAATTTTTTAAAGATATTTTTTAAATACTTTTTAAAAGATTTTATTTATTTATCTTTAGAGAGGAAGGGAAGGAGAGAAGGAGAGAAACATCGATGTGTGGTTGCCTCTTGTGAGTTCCCTGCCGGGAACTGGCCTGCAACCCAGGCATGTGCCTTGACTGGGAATCGAACCTCAATCGTGTGGTTCGCAGGCCTGCCCTCAATCCACTGAGCTATGCCAGCCAGGGCTTTCTAAAATATGAATTTAATGTAACATATTCTGTGTATTAATTTTGAGTAGTCACTGTCTTGGTTTTATTATCTTTTAAATAGCAAGTCAGCCCTGTACCATCATGGCCAAACATCCCTCCAAGAATCAGTGAACTTTGTTCTCAAGAAGTCCCCAGTTACATGCCATGATCTAATCCCTGATTGCTGACCCTGGCAACCATAGTTCAAGTGCTAGTCAAGAAGGTGGGAAAAGTGGCAAACAAACAATGCAGTCAGTATAAAAAAATTCACCCCTTCTGTTGCAGAAATTAGATATACTATGTAGATTTGTTTATGGATTGGCATGGTTTTAAAAAGTTATTTTATTAATTAAAAAAATGGTCCTTTAAGTTCATGTTTCAAAGCCCTGTGCCAAGGTTTTCAATATTTTCAGCCCATATTATTTTACACAAAGTATAAGTGTGTGTGTATGTGTGTATGAGTGTGTTTATACATATATAGCAACCATCCCTGTATCAGGCAGGACATGATCAGTAGGCTCTGCCCCATGTAAACCATTTGAGCCACTGAAAGATGACTTTAAGATTTATATGTCTTTACTGAATGCACAAAAATAATGGAAGTAGCAGGTTTCCTCTGACTTGTATAGAAGAGAACCACACAGTGAGCTCCAGAAATGTGTGTGCAAGGCACATTGGCCTCTGTAAGAACTTTGCTATTGTGGGCTTCTGAGCTTTAGTTCAAGTGACAGGCAATTTCAGATTTGTTTTAATCTCAGCCGTCATTCCAAAGGCTGATCATTTTTAATTTACTAAATGGATATTCACTCTTGGGCAGGGTAAATCTGTTTTCTATATGTTAGCCATAGCAAAACCTTAGGTGATCCCTCATATGGCAGTGAGACAGAATAAATACGCTGTGAAAACATTTTATTCTAAAACCTTTCAACAAGAATATTAAAGGGAGCATTAGCTATGTGTATTGACCCCTTTTTGTTGAACTAGAATTTCATATCAACTGAGAATATAATCTTTAAACCTTATTCTTGATAGAGGTACAGCACCTTGACACTTTTATTTTTTATCGTTTTTAAATTTTACTCGTTTGAATTTATAAACAAATAATTTCAATTATCTTTAATGAGTAAAATGTATTATCTAGATCATGAAGAAAAGTATTGTACAATGTCTCCATAGCATATTCTGACAATTTCATATCCCCTTATTTCTAGGAAGATAGTTTGTTTCATATTTCATTTTCACATCAATTTCACAAGGATGGAAGGCCGTATTTGTGGGACAAGGCGTTTCAAAACTAGGAAAAAGTAAAGAGCATATTTATGAGGGAACAAATGATTCTTTGCAGAGCCATGGTCCTGTCTTATGCCCAGTTAATCAGAGTTAAATACATACTTGATTTCTTCCTTGAGTAAATATTTTCTAGGAGCCCACCATGTGCCATCATCTCTGTAAGGCAAAGACGGGCCGGCCTTTCCCTGGGATCTGAGTGCCATTAGCCATTAGGATAGGTGTTTAAGGTTAATGCCAACATTGTGCCAAGATAAATTGGAAGTGACAAATGCACTCGAGTGTTTTGTATCAAATTTATGTGTGTGTGTGTGTTATGTGATATGCAGGACCTTTGAAACACAGGACCTAGTCTAAATTACTATGGTCAGACCACAGTACCTTCCTTGACCTTCAATAACTTCCTCTGTCACTACTAGTTACTTTCTATTACCCACTTCTAGCTTGTCTATAGTACTTCCCGTTATCCTGAAGTACCTTAGAGTTTTCTGTGTTTATAATCTGTATCAAATGTAAATCCTGTGAGAGAAGAAATTTTTTCTGTGTAGCTCACCAAAGTAACCTCAACACTTTTAAATTACTACTTCCTCTAGTCAAGTGTGGTAAAGTGGTATACAGCTTTTCTTTTTAAAAACATGTTGAAAACTGGTAATATTCTGAAGGTCACAGTTACTGTTTGAATGCTTCTTGGAGATTAAACTAAAGTGCTATGGAAATCTTTCAAATCTTTCTGTCAATCTCTCACATAAAGTTTTACATACTTAATGAATCAGTTAAGTCAGGAAACTTTTCAACAGTAAATAAGTACTTTAAGTTTTTTTCTTTTCTGTTGGATTTTGGATCTTGTTTAGTGTTTACTGCCTGTATCATTTTTGTTGTATTAGCACTCTGTGTCTCATGAATTTAGTTGAATATACAATTCATTTTTTTTAATTTCAAAGAACATATTTCTCATTAAAACATAATAATTACCAACACAACTAATTGGAACTTATATTAATTCTAGTTGGCATTTCTAAAATGAATTGTTGCTAATGTTGTTTTTAATTTTAATAGCCTCAAGTACTACAGCCTTCCAGCAGCCTTCCCAGACCCACAGACCACACCCAGGGAAAACTAATAAAATCGCAACATATCGAGGACCACAGTGAATGCACAGCCCAGGGCATACATCAGAGTATTGCGCATCTGGATGAAAGCTTTACGTATAACTTGCAACAAGAAAGCAACTGTGGTGTGGAAGACCGGCCTTTTTCCTCAAGCCTGCAATTCACTAAGGATGCGGCTAAGAGTATATCTTCAGAAGCAAACTTGAACACGACCATGGATGCTCAAGAGCCTTACCATTTGGCAAATGATCAAATTAATGACTTGCAGACTGTACCCACTTCTCCTCAAACACTTAGCCAGTCAAGTGCAGTAGACCAGGCTAAGAGAGTTGGAAGAGATCAGTTTTCATTGGAGGACTACACATGTCAGCCCAAATCCTCGCAGCTTTTTAAGCCATCCATCTTAAATTCTTTGGTACCTCCTTCAGTTGCTGAATCATCTTCAAGTAGGACTCCCACTTACAAGAATTCACCAATAATCGCACCATGTAATTCAGCAAAACTTAAGCTAACATCTAGTCAAACAAATCTTGCAAATAATCTAAGTGTAAAAGCATCTAAGCTCCGCCCTCCTTCTAGCTCTTTCAAACAAAAACAAATAAGCAGCCCCCGACCAGAGGCTCAAAACTTTCAGGCCAAGACAAGCATCCCGAGGCCACTAACAAAAAGAAAAGAGATCATGCAGAATCCGAATGGCAATTTGAATTCTGGGGATTGTTTGGCCTCTAATCGGTATTCTCGTCTTCCTAAACCAAAGATACATTAAGTACCTAGCCATCAGTTGCCAGTTTGTTGTTTTAAAAAACAATCTGTTCTGTAATAGCTTTACATGCAGTTTGCTGCCATGATGGAGCTTGCAAAATCTCAAAAATTAAAACGTGGATCCTTCTAGTTTGGGCTTTTCCATTTTATATTCTGGTTGAAGCACCTAGCATTTGAGTATTATTTGTCTCAGGTAAACACAAAGTTTGCTTACCCATCTCAGAAGCCTACAGACAGTTCTAATCATGTTGTCCATACCTTTGCACATCAGAAAATCCATAATATTTCACCTAGCAGGCAAGAAATGTGCTTTGCTTATTTAGTCCTTTTAAGGTCTGCATTAATTGTGGTTCTCAAATCCTTTTTTTCACTTGTCCCTCTTCTGAATATAGTAGTATTTTAAATAAAGATTTGGTGATAATAGAAGATGGTAGTCTGTAAGCAAAGTTCTGGCCAGTGGTTTGTATATTTAAAAGGTCTATGCAAAAGCTCTGTGATAAGTAAAGGAGATCAGGCCTTTAATGGGAAGTCTGTGTAAGTTTTATTTTCCCTCGGATCAGCAAACTACTCTCAGTGTTTATTTACCAAATACCCCAGGCTAAAATGTTTCATATTATATATAAACCATTTATATATTACTTAAACATTTTGTTGTATACACACATCATTGTGTTTGTTTTGGGTACTGGATAAATTTTGGAAAGCTTGAGATATATCTTGAAACCTGCACATAAAGGTATATTCATTTACAACGTGTTGGTGCTAGAGTTTTGCTGGTAATTCAGTTTTAAGCCCTATACACTTATGGATCCATGATAGGTGTTCTAGAGTTCCATCGCATATATATTGTCCTTATTGTAATGTGTATATTTATTTACTTTTCACTATCTGAAGACTGAAATAATGGACTTGAAATGTTTGCACAAAACTTTGAGGGACTATAAATATCCCATAAATAGGGATTTAAGATTCTTTTCTTCAGCAAAACAAGTTAAAATATTCTGACAGTAATTATAAAGAAGTAAGACTGTCTTGAGAAAGATAGGATTCACAGTACTTTGGTTTTGCTAAGTTTTCCAGACTTCCCTTTTATGTTGGTATATGTTTGAATGACAGTTTTCTTGAAAAGTAGACTTTAGAAACAAAATAGAATTATAGAGGGAAATTATGTTTCATTAAAAGATATTTCAATGGCAATATGCTTATGTAATATGCTAGGAAGGTAGCGGTGGAACCCCCAAGGGACCAGATAAACTAATCTAATCACACTGTGGGCCGTGCTTCAGATGGCTCGGTAAATTTGCCCTCTTGTTCTCTCAAATCATGTCCTCTTTAGGTCATTTGCCTGTTTCTTTCTCCTTTAATTAGAATTATAGTCTTTCAAAGAGATATGTTTTTACAGTGTAAATTTTTGTTGTGATCAGCTGACCTTAAAAATGTATCAACAAAACTTTTCATATACTTCGAATTCATATACTTGGAAGTCACTCAAATTTGTACGGATTCCTTTTAAAAAATGTACATTGGTGAAATTGTGTGCCCCCTTTTTAGAAAAATAACAGCATGTATTTTGCTGCACAGGTGGCAAACACAAGGCCTGTGGGCCGAATCCTGTTCTCCACCTTGTCTTTACCCTGTGGCAGCGCTGAGCTCTCACTTAACTGTTAAGGAGCAGTTACATTTTTGCAGTCCTAAAGTTACATTCACCCGTCTGAAGGCAACCAGGAGGCTGATGTGCCCCGCCCCCCGTGGAAATGAGTTTGACACCCGTTTTACTTTAAAGTTCGAGAGGTGATTGCTACCATTTAGATGCAGTCTTCCCTTACCATTAGAGTGAATTCGCTATTCACTGGTTACAAACCATTCTTGGATTTGGTAACAGGAGAGCATCATATTCTCGTTCAACAAGACTTCTTCAGGAGAAGCACACTAGTTCAGAAAGTTTGTCACATTGTCCAGATATTGTTAGTATAAAGTGACTAGACATGCCAGCAAAACTCTTTGTTTGTTCATAGAAATGACCAGTGATGGCTGCAGCTCTAAGTGGGTACATGTGGCCCTTCATTTTGAAGGAGAAAGAAAACTTTTATTTTGCAAATGGTATACTATCACCCTATATTTCTTTAAGGTAAAACATCAACTGGTGAATTAGGAGGGTTTTGGTTAATTTAGAAGTTGCAGGGATCTTTGGAAAAGACAATACTGGGAAACTAGAAGACAACAGGAAAAGAGGAAGACCAGCTATGAGATGGATCGACTCGGTAAAGTAAGTGATAGGCATGAGTTGGCAGGAGCTGAGCAGGGCTGGTGAGGACAGGATGTTGTGGACGTCATTCATTCAAAGGGTTGCCAGGAGGTGGAGCCAACTTCACAGCTTGTAACACTCACACACATAGACTCTTGTGTACAATTACTTACAAGTAAGCCTTTATCTTTAAGGGAAAGTTTTAGTTTTTTACATCATTTTTAACCCCCTAGTCTGAGGGAGATGTCTTTGTCTATTACATAAAAATAGTGACTTCTGCAATTCGTTTATTCCGATATTTTTCTTCTCTTTCTTTCTCCCTGATGAATTTGAATCAACCCCTCAGTTCAAACTCTGTACCTTTGTTGAGCCTTAATCTTAACAGAAGGCTGATTAAGGATATATATATATATATATATATATATATATATATATATATTTAAGAGGAAAAAATTAGGATGCTTGCACAAAACAATAAAGTATTTGCCTGCAGTTTTCTTTCAATACTGCAAGAGTATTATGTTAGGCTGCTCCTTAGTAACCATGAACTCAGAAATGAGGTGAGGATGTAGCTCACCTTAATCTCTGTTTAGTACTTCTGTAAATCAGCTCTGTCAAAATCCCCTCCACAAGCACTCAGATCACTTTTCTTAGTTCTTGTGTTTTCAGTGAAGATGGTTGCAGTATATGAATTCCAAGTCCTGAGGAAATTTTCTGGGGATTGGTTAAGTTTCACATTTGTGAAAGAGAAACACTCATGTAGATAGAATTATACATTTGGCTGTTAATGGGATGACTAGCAAATTCTTTTAAGGAAAGCTTGGTCTAGGCCCCAAGGAGTTTATCAGTACAGATGCAGATGCTTTTAATGCATTAAAGGATTCCATCATTTAGATGGCTAATCATTTAGAATGTTTATAATAAGGACTGAGACCCTCTAAGCATTTTTCTTTGGAATTCTCATTTTAATTTGTGCAATATTATCAGGCATATGGACTACTACTCATTGTATTTATATAGATATTTAGGGAATCTACTAAGTATTTTAACAAGTAAAAACCTGAATATGAAAGAAAATATCAGATTTGCACTTTAAATGAGCTTAATTGCTGGGAACTGTGCCTGAAATATTGAAATGCTTCCTGTTGGGTGTGGCTTTTTTGTTGAAATAAATTTCTTATTGTTGCTATTTGAAGTATAGCCTTTCACAGAATTATATTCTCAGCATGTCACTTTTCCCATTAAAGCACTACGTTCTTTGAATGTTTCATTGACCCCTTAAGTATTTTACACAGTGCATCAAAGAGAACATGTTCCTCCTATAGTTGTCATTTCTAAATCTTCCTGTAGCGTAGATGGTGGTACAGACACACAGGTACACGTTTCGTTTCTGAGCAGAGTTGTCGTGCCAGTTTCCTGGTCTCTAGGGCACGGGGATTCCTGTTTGGAGTCACCAAATAGGCTTGCAATGAAGATCAGCAAGACTGCAGCACATTTTAGTTTACTCTCAAACTTAGACAATAGTTTTCATGTTTATAAATTATGGTGGTTATGTTTGCATGCTTATGCACACATTCAAAAATTAATTATAGCTGTAATACAAATACCTGATATTTTCCTTGGGGACGATGGCCTTGCTATTTTTCTTAATCCTGATGCTTGGATTAGATTGTTCTAATTTTCTTTCCACACCTCTCTTCAATTTTTCTGCTGCAGTAATTTGAAAGAATATGTATGAATAAATTATTGTGATGGTGGGCACCAGTCTACAACTATGCTGTTAACTGAAGATACATCTTATGTTTTAACGCTGTTGGGGAAAAGCTATCCATTTTCTCCTTGGTAAAGCATCACCAAAATAATACTGACCCTAAGAATTTAAAGTCTCTAAGTCATTACTAACTAAAAACAGAAAACACCACAGTCTTTTAATACCTGCAATATTTTTTCCCACTGATTTAAAAAACCAGTTCAGAGTAAATACTGTATATTAGAATTTGCTTGTAAAATGAATTATAAGAACTGGATGTAAAGTCTTTCCTCATAATGTTGGCCTAGTAAATAAAAATAAAGTCCATAATTATCAAAAGTTTCTTGTTCTTTTCAACATTGACTTCCACAGTGTTACTTTTTCTTGGATACCATTTTTCACACAAATATTTAAATACTGCTCATTTGGTTGGTTGTTTTTTTTGCAAACTGTCATTTCACACACTCCCTTCTACACACACATACACTTCAAACCTTGATTGGGTAGGACTTGAACAATTGCTGTGTTTTCACAATTCTGTAAGTTACCTGGTACTTCAGTTTCCATTTTAGTCAAATAGCTGCTTTATCTTAGAAAATAGTGGGATAACAGATAATTTTTACTTTAAAAATAAACCATAACACCTTGGCCCTGGCTGGCGTAGCTCAGTGGATTGAGCGCAGGCCTGCAAATGAGAGGATCGCAGTTCAATTCCCAGTCAGGACACATGCCTGGGTTGCAGGCCAGTTCCCAGAAGGGGACATTCGAGAGGCAACCATGCATTGATATTTCTCTCTCCCTCTCCTTCCCCTCCCCTCCAAATTTAAATAAATAAATCTTAAAAAATAAACAAGCATTAACACCTTGAATTAGAATGCTGCATAAAAGGGGGAAATGTTACAATTTTTATTGCTTTGTTTTATTTTAAAGATCACATGTACAAAATAGGTTGAAACAAGAACATTTAGTGAAATGGTGTTTTAGGAACAAAGGGAATTTATCACTTATTTTCCAGTTATGTGCACTAATTACATAATAGGAAATAAAAAGTTGGTGCATTGGTGTTGACATCATGTTATTAATCCAAAATTATTATATGAATGCTGGAAAAAGAATGAAGGAAATTTTATTAGTAATAAATTTGATAATGGCATTTATCACTTTAGTCACCTCTTATATCAGTTTTAAGGCCCTCTGAGTTATTAGCAAGTATTTTCTTGGACTAAAAAACATTTTTTTAGTGTGTTATTTAGTATAGTTATTTTCGGATGTCTTTCATTATGTTGTTCATTCCACATTTTCATTTTGAAAAAAAGTTTTTCCCCCACAGAAAAGACAGTAGAAGTTAGTTCCAACATTTTCTGTTAATTGAATTTAAGCAGTTTGAATAGGTTGTCTTATATTTGTCAGTCACTCTGCTAGTTTTGTGTATTCATAGGTGAAAACCACATGGTCTCTGCCTCTTGGAGCTCAAAGACTGACTGGCCACAGGCAGTTTTTAACTTCACGCCGTCCAGTTCCGGAGCACCCTTGCATTCATTCCCTGTTCATCATCTTGTTTTGAACATAAGGGTAAAGCTCCTTTTACCTGGTTTTATTCTTGGCTGTAACTCCCTGCTTTGTTCTTGTCTTTGCTTCTGTATTATGTTAATTTTTGTTTATATACCTTCATTTCCCTTGGAAAACCTGGCCTTTTATAACTGGATTTCATTCAAGAACTCCTTTAGTCATAGCAGATAGTCTTACTCTGCCTTTTCTTCCGTAGGTGATTAGTCAGGATTTTATTTTGAGGTTTTTCAACTGTCTTAAGCTGCCTTCCCATTTAGCCTCAGCCCATAAGATCTCACTTTTTGAAGTCTGCCTTTAACATTCAATTTATGTCATCTTTATTTTCCTTCCATCCCATTCTCTTGTATAGACAGAATATATAATGTGGCCTGGTTCTTACTTGGTTACCTGCCATTTTTTTGCTCTGTGGCCTCTGAGAAGAAATTTAGGTCATCTAGTACAGGGGCCCCCAACTTCCAGGCCAGGACCTGTACTGGTCTGCCAGGAACCAGGCCACACAGCAGGAAGTGAACTTGAATTATCCACAAACCATTCCCCACCCCAACCTGGGTCCTGGAAAAATTGTCTTCCACAACCTGGTCCCTGGCATCAAAAAATATTGAGGACTGCTGATACAGAAGAGCCTTGTCCTCATTCATGAATTATCCCAAGCAACCCTCAAAGTACCATCTATCCCATGAAAACAGGAAAGACCAGGAAATAGTTCACAGGAGTTTCTCTGATTTTTCAACCATAAAAATGGTATTGCTGTTTTCCAGATTCCTAAATGACCTGTTATTTAATCCACACATAAATTCATTCACACACAATTTGAGTATGAATAATGCTTCTGAGGTTGTATTTCAGGTGATTATAGTTTACTGTGAAAGTACATCTCAAA